GTGTGTTTTGGAAAAATTTAATAGTAAGGCATGGGGCACGAGGGAAATTTTCGTCGAGTGGTTTTAATGAAGTGTTTGGCCCTAGTGTGAAGGAGGTGTCTCCTGGAAAAGATATTGGATCTCAAGTGCCTGCTAGTAATGGACAATGCACCTGCTCATCCCCCAAAATTGGATGACTAATTTTGAGGAGTTTGGGTTCATCACAGTAAAATTCTTTCCCCCGAATACCACTCCTCTCCCCAACCATTGGACCAGAGGTTATTGCAAACTTTAAAAAATCTACACAAAAGCAATGTTTCACAGGTGCTTGACTGTGACCACAGACATTCACTTGACCCTAAGGTAATTTTGGAGAGAACACTTCAGCATCCCACTGCATAACCCTTAGGTATGGCTTGGGAGGGATGACTACCAGGACTTTGAACTCTGCCTGGAAAAATTGTGGCCAGATGGTGTCGACAAAAGGGATTTTGAAGGATTTGGGACTAGACCCTAATGAGCCTATGTCTATTGTAAAATCAATTTTTGACACTGGGGAGTTTCCATGGGGTTGGATGTGAGTTTGGAGGATGTGGAAGAATTGGTGGAAGGGCCACAATGAAGAGCTCACCACTGAGGAACTGCAAGAGCTTCAGCAGGAAGAGCAACACATCGCAGCTCGAATCTTGTGCAGAGGAGGAGGAAGAGAGATGGAAAAAGGTGCCTTCTTCAAAATTAAAGAGATTTTTACTATGTGGGGTAAGATAGAAAGCTTTATGGAGAAACATCACCCTAACAAGGTTGTTGCAAGCCAGGTTGGCAACATGTACAGTGACAAAGTCTTGGGCCATTTTAGGGAAGTGTTAAAGAGACGCCAGAAACAGAGCTCTCTCCACAGTTATTTTGTGAGACAGGGGCCAGTGACTCTCAAGGTGTTTCCCGTGGCATTAAGAAAAAGAAGAGAAGCAACCCCAGAAAAGCAAATGGTACCTGAGGTGTTGATAGAAGGGGATTCCCCTTCCAAACTATAAACAATCCACTCTCTCTCCTCCAAAAAGGTAAGTGTTATGCTGTTAATGTTTCATTCATCATTTCCCATTGTATTGTTTATGTACTACATGTATATTTCATGTTAAAATTTTTTTTGTTTTAATACTTCTGGGTGTCAGGAACGGATTAATTGTATTTACATTATTTCTTTTGGGGAAAATTGATTCGTAAATCGTAAATTTCGTTTATAGTAACGGCTCCAGGAACGGATTAATTACAAACAACAAGGGACCACTGTACTTGGGTGACGTGTCAGCGGATGGATTTATGAAGGATGAGGTTAATCATAGAATTGATGAGGGAAAAAAGTTGAGTGGTGGGTTGAGGTATATGTGGAATCAAAAAACGTTATCTATGGAGGCAAAGAAGGGAATGTATGAAAGTATAGTAGTACAACACTCTTATATGGGTGTGAAGCTTGGGTGGTAAATGCAGCAGCGAGGAGACGGTTGGAGGCAGTGGAGATGTCCTGTCTAAGGGCAATGTGTGGTGTAAATATTATGCAGAAAATTCGGAGTGTGGAAATTAGGAAAAGGTGTGGAGTTAATAAAAGTATTAGTCAGAGGGCAGAAGAGGGGTTGTTGAGGTGGTTTGGTCATTTAGAGAGAATGGATCAAAGTAGAATGACATGGAAAGCATATAAATCTATAGGGGAAGGAAGGCGAGATAGGGGTCGTCCTCGAAAGGGTTGGAGAGAGGGGGTAAAGGAGGTTTTGTGGGCGAGGGGCTTGGACTTCCAGCAAGCGTGAGTGAGCGTGTTAGATAGGAGTGAATGGAGATGAATGGTACTTGGAACCTGACGATCTGTTGGAGTGTGAGCAGGGTAATATTTAGTGAAGGGATTCAGGAAAACCGGCTATTTTCATACAGTCAGACTTGAGTCCTGAAAATGGGAAGTACAATGCCTGCACTTTAAAGGAGGGGTTTGGGATATTGACGGTTTGGAGGGATATGTTATGTATCTTTATACGTATATGCTTCTAAATTGTTGTATTCTGAGCACCTCTGCAAAAACAGTGATAATGTGTGAGTGTGGTGAAAGTGTTGAATGATGATGAAAGTATTTTCTTTTTGGGGATTTTCTTTCTTTTTTTTGGGTCACCCTGCCTCGGTGGGAGACGGCCGACTTGTCGAAAAAAAAAAAAAATACAGTTTATGGTTAAATAACATGTATGTTATTAAATACCACTGCCTCCACCACTGCCTCTACCACTGCCTCAACCACTGCCTCAACCACTGCAGTGCATTGCCTTGTATTTTTGTACAATTTCTTTCTTCAATTCTATCGTGTTTCTTAATTTCTTTACCAAAGGGCTAGCACTAGAAAGTTTCTTTGGGCCTATGGTTAATTATGTAGCAGTTGCACTCAATCTACAAGCACCAAACACAACGAATTATTGTGAAATGTTTGGAAGAGCGCGGAGGCTAATGTTTCCAGCATAAACAAAGGTAAACTGACTCACGATGCCTCAACCACTGCTTCAGCCCTCATATTTTTGTACAATTTCCTTCTTCAATTCTATCGTATTATTATTATTATTATTATTAATAACATGTATTATTATTATTATTATTATTTGTTAACAAGTCGGCCATCTCCCACTGAAGCAGGGTGACCCAAAAAACAAAGAATATCCTCAACACTTTCACCTCACTCACTGTTTCTGCAGAGGTGCTCAGAATACAACAGTTTAGAAGCATATACATATAAAGATACACAATATATCCCTCCAAACTGCCAATATCCCAAACCCCTCCTTTAAAGCGCAGGCATTGTACTTCCCATTTCCAGGACTCAAAGTCCGGCTATATAAAAATAACCAGTTTCCCTGAATCCCTTCACTAAATATTACCCTGCTCACACTTCAACAGCTCGTCAGATCCCAAATACCATTCGTCTCCATTCACTCCTATCTAACACGCTCACGCACGCTTGCTGGAAGTCCAAGCCCCTCGCCCACAAGACCTCCTTTACCCCTCCCTCCAACCTTTTCGAGGACGACCCCTACCCCGCCTTCCTTCCCCTACAGATTTATATTCTCTCCATGTCATTCTACTTTGATCCATTCTTTCTAAATGAACAAACCACCTCAATAACCCCTCTTCAGCCCTCTGACTAATACTCTTAGTTACTCCACACCTCCTAATTTCCACACTCCAAATTCTCTGCGTAATATTTACACCGCACATTGCCCTTAGACACGACATCTGCACTGCCTCCAGCCTCCTCCTCACTGCAGCATTTACAACCCATGCTTTACACCCATCTAAGAGTGTTGGTACCCCTATACTCTTGTTGATACCACTATACTCCCTTCATTGCCTCCATGGATAACGTTTTTTGTCTCCACAGATATCTCAATGCACCACTCATCTTTTTTATTTCATCAATTCTATGGTTAACCTCATCCTTCTTAAACCTATCTGCTGACCAGTAACATCCAAATATCTGAATACATTAACTTCTTCCATACTCTCTCCCTCTAATGTGATATCCAATTTTTCTTTAACTAAATCATTTGATACCCTCATCACCTTACTCTTTTCTATGTTCACTTTCAATTTCTACCTTTACACACTCTCCCAAGCTCATCCACTAACCTTTGCAACTTTTCTTTAGAATCTCCCAAAAGCACAGTATCATCAGCAAAAAGTAACTGTGTCATCTCCATTTTGTATTTGATTCCCCATAATTTAATCTCACCCCTCTCCCCAACACCCTAGCAATTACTTCTTTTACAACTCCATCTATAAATATGTTAAACAACCATGGTGACATTACACATCCCTGTCTAAGACCTACTTTTACCGGGAAGTAGTCTCCCTCTCTCCTGCACACCCTAACTTGAGCCTCACTATCCTCATAAAAACTCTTTACAGCATTAAGTAACTTACCACCTATTCCATCTGCCACATTGCAACATCTGCCACATTGCTCCCCTATCCACTCTATCATATGCCTTTTCTAAATCCATAAATGCAATGAAAACTTCCCTACCCTTATCTAAATACTGTGTGAGTGAGGTGAAAGTGTTGAATGATGATGAAAGTATTTTCTTTTTGGGAATTTTCTTTCTATTTTTGTGTCACCCTGCCTCGGTGGGAGACAGCCGACTTGTTAAAAAAAAAAAATATGCTTCAATGTAAAACCTTGATTCACACATCCCCTACCCACTCTAAAGCCTCCTTGTTTATCTGCAATCCCACTCTCTGTCTTACTTCTAATTTTTTTAATAATAACCCTATCATTCACTTTACCTAGTATACTCAGTAAACTACTTCTTTCTTTCAACACACCTGCCGTATCCCACTGAGGCAGGGTGACCCAAAAGGAAAAATGAAAGTTTCTACTTTTACATTTACATAGTAATATATACAGAAGGGGTTACTAGCCTCTTGCTCCAGGCATTTTAGTCGCCTCTTATGACACGCATGGTTTAAGGAGGAAGAATTCTGTTCCACTTCCCCATGGAGGTAAGAAGAGATAAACAAGAACTAGTAAGGACTAGTAAGAAAATAGAAGAAAACCTAGAGGGGTGTGTATATATGTGCTTGTACATGCATGTGTAGTGTGACCTAAGAATAAGTACAAGTAGCAAGACGTACCTGAAATCTTGCATGTTTATGAGACAGAAAACAGACACTAGCAATCCTACCATTGTGTAAAACAATTGCAGGCTTTCGTTTTACACTCACTTGGCAGGATGGTAGTACCTCCCTGGGTAGTTGATAACAGCTTACTACCTAACCTATAATTTTTACACTCTTGTCCCCCTTCCCTTTATGTAAAGGAACTATACATGCTCTCTACCAATCCCTAGGTACCTTTCCTTCTTTCAATATCTATTAATATATTTAATCATCATAGGCAAGAGTAATATAAACTGGGAGTTGTTGCCCAAGCCATACTTACAAGGAGTTGTTGCATATCTTAAAATACTAAGCATTGTTGCAAAATACACACTACTTACTTGGTGCTGTTGCATAATATCATGCAGCTTATTCTGAGCTTCTAAACCATTGATAAATGCTATTTCTTTAGCTTTGTTTTCCTCATCGTGAGCTTTGTTTACTATTTCTTGAAGGTGCTGCTTGCGTTTTTCTTCGGCTCGTTGCATCTTGCGCTGAAACAATTCTCTCTTCTTGTCTAGAAGACATTCCTTGTCCTGACGTACTTCTTCAATCTGAGTTACAGTGAAAGGGGTATACAAATAAGAGAATGAAAAACAGTTTAGTATTTCTCATATCTTTTTTTACAGATTACTCAGACAATGCACCCATTACATGCATATAATCTTTTCACCTGTAATATTCACTTTCTTTTACTGCTTTAATTCTCAAAATTTCATTCTTTATAGAGTTTATGAAAACATCAGTCCTCCTCCTCATGTGGGTTCTGCAAAGACTGGCATTAGGACCACTGTTATTTCTAATTATGAAAATGACACCATATGGGACTGAGTCAGATGCATCCTTATTTCCTCATGATGTCAAATTAATAACAAGAATAAAAATTAATTGGACACAAAATCTACAAACACCTCTTCACAATATTTAATTTCTTTTGTAATATTATCTTTAACTACACTTATCATCTCTAACTGATTAACAGTCTTCTGTTTATTACAGTTGAAAACATTGCCAGAAACCAGTTTAAGCCTTTGATAAAGTTTTACCAAGCTGTGCCTGTTAGACATTATAAGGAAATAAATATTAAGACACATAATGATCCCCGACTTGGATCATCCCAGTTACGATCATCCACACTTACAATAATTACAACTTTTTAAAGCTGAGGTACAAATATTTTATGCTCTCTTACAGCTCAAGGTGAGATATGACAAGACTGTCATAATTAACGACAGTGTAATAAAATTATTATTCCAATGTAGTAGGAAGGATGGTAGTTTCTTCTTGGATAGTTATCCAGGGAGATACTACTGTCCTGTTCAACAAGTGTGAAATGGAAGCCTATTAAGTATTTTGCAGTCTATCAAGACTGCTAGTGTTTTCTTTGTCTCATAAATGTGTAAGATAGAAGGTAAACCTTGTACAAATGATAAGAGAGAGATTATTGTGGATGCTATGAATGAGAAGAAGCTGGATGTCCTGGCTTTAAGTGAAACAAAGCTGAAGGGGGTGAGAGTGTTTCAGTGGAGAGAAGTAAATGGGATTAGGTCAGGGGTTTCAAACAGAGTTAGAGCTAAAGGAGTAGTAGCAATAAAGTTGAAGGATAAGCAATGGCAGGAAAAGAGGGTATAAATGTATTAATTCAAGGATTATGTAGAGTAAAATAAAGGTTGGATGTGAAAAGTGGGTAATAGTAAGCATATATGCACCTGGAGGAGAGAGAACTGTAGAGGAGAGAGAGAGAGGTTTTAGGAATTGTAGAGTGTGTGGGGAGTTTTGAACCAAGTGTGAGAGTACTTGTGGTTGGGGATTTCAATGCTAAAGTGGGTAAAAATGTTGTGGAGGGAGTAGTAGGTAAATTTGGGGTTCCAGGGATAAATGAAAATGGGGAGCCTTTAATTGAGCTATGTGTAGAAAGAGGTTTGGTAATAAGTAATAGATATTTTATGAAAAAGAGGATAAATAAATATACAAGGTATGATATAGCACGTAATGAAAGTAGTTTGTGAGATTATATATTGGTGGATAAAAGGTTGATGGGTAGGCTTCAGGATGTGTATGTTTATCGAGGGGCAACTGATATAGTGGTTCATTATTTAGTTGTAGCTACAGTTAAAATAAGAGGTAAGGGGACAAAAGAAAAATGGCAACAACAAGTAAGAGAGAGGTGAAAGTGTATAAACTAAGGGAGGAAGAAGTTCGGGCGAGATATAAGCAACTACTGGCAGAAAGGTGGGCTAGTGCAAGTATGAGTAGTGGGGGAGGGGAGGGTGAATAGGGTTGGAATAGTTTTAAAAATACAGTATTAGAATGCGGGACAGAAGTTTGTGGCTATAGCAGGGTGGGTGCAGGAGGAAAGAGGAGTGATTGGTGGAATGATGAAGTAAAGGGTGTGATAAGAGAAAAAGGTAGCTTATGAGAGGTTTTTACAAAGCAGAAGTGTTATAAGAAGAGCAGAGTATATAGAGAGTAAAAGAAAGGTGAAGAGAGTGGTGAGAGAGTGCAAAAAGAGAGCACATGATAGAGTGGGAGAGGCAGTCAAGAAATTTTAATGAAAATAAGAAAAAAATTTGGAATGAGTTAAACAAGTTAAGACTGTTGTATTCTGAGCAACTCTGCAAAAACTGATTATGTGTGAGTGAGGTGAAAGTGTTGAATGATGATGAAAGTATTTTCTTTTTGGGGATTTTCTTTCTTTTTGGGTCACCCTGCCTCAGTGGGAGACGGCCGACTTGTTAAAAAAAAAAAAATACAGCAAATTTCCAATGAAGTCTCCAAAACAGTAGTCATCCTTTCAAAGATACGGTACTATGTACCCCAACCAGCTTTTCTAGCTCTGTACCACTCTCTCATTTACCCTTACTTCCCCTATGGTATATGTGCATGGGGCTCAGCAAATCACCTTAAGCCTTTAATAACCCAACAAAAAGCTGCAGTGCAATTGATTATTAACTCCTGCATTAGACAACACACTCCATCTCTTTTCAAAAGTCTTAACCTGCTTATTATACAAAACATCCACACTTATTATTGTGCCTACTACATACACAGAACACTATACTCAAATGTAAACCCTCCTCTCAAACTCCTCCTTAATAACTATAACAGAACACACAACCATAATAGGAGACACAATCACTCTTCAATATTCCTCATATCCATCTCTCCCTATGCAAAAATGCTATGTACATAAAAGGCCTGAAGATCTGGAATTTATTGCCAGAACACACTAAAGGATCCCTGTCTGCAAATCAGTTTAAGACCCTACTATATAATCACCTCATCACACAAAACTAACTAGACAAACAGTGCCTAATCACTACTAGTTACTCAAAAGCTGCTCACATTGTGCTTATGAATGCTCAACTACTTACTACTTCAAAATTAGAATGTCTAAATTTCATTTTTTAAATAGTACTAAATTGTAATATATCATGATGTAAATTGTTTTTAAATTGTTCCATTGTAATACTAAATTTCATTGTTTTAAATAGTATTAAGCTGTAATACACCACACTGTAAATTGTTTTAATTTGTTCCATTGCAATACTGTAATCTTTATAAACTAATTCAATAGTGTAATAATTCTCTACTAGACTTATCAAAGCCATGTAGCATTACCAAATAGAATACTCAATTCTCTGTAACTCACCTGTAATAAAGTTGGTAGAATTACCGACAGTATGTAAAGTAAAAGGACACAAGTGCAACTAATGTGACATTTTATTGTGGTAACGTTTCGCTCTCCAGGAGCTTGACGAAGCTCCTGGAGAGCGAAACGTTGCCACAATAAAATGTCACATTAGTTGCACTTGTGTCCTTTTACTTTGTAACTCATCTAATGACCATATGAACTGTTATCGCCTTCCTAATCTTAAGTTAATCTTTAGGTTTGACTGAAATGCTCTGCATACAAAGGGGCTTTTGGCATATACACCCAACTATTATATTCCTCTGTACAACCAAGTATCATGTCAAAATAAACATCTTAATCTTAACCATCACTCAAGGCATACATTTAACCCTGCCTGAAATGCTATGCATACTATAAAGTCCATGCACTATTTTAGTCTTATCCTTACTTAAATAGTTAAATATTATAACTATCAGTAATACAATATAATTAAAAGAATTAGTCAACTATACCTTCTTAAACAGATCTTTCAGTTTATCAGTCTTCGCTTGTATGAAATTCTCCCGGAGCTCCTGAGCCTTCGCCAGTTTTTCCTCGTGCCGCCGCATCTTTTCTGATAAAGAACGTTTTCTTGACGGTGATGATAGCTTCTCGTGAATATGTAAAACACGACCAGGATGACGCAGCTCCTCCAACGACTCCATTGCATCTACCTAGTGATATATTGAAAATAAAAAATTTATTTTAAGGAACTAATACAAACCCTAGGAAATTCATAAATACAGTGGACCCCCACATACCGTTGGCATCACATAACGTTAAATCCGCATACCGATACATTTTATCACTAAGATTTTGCCTCGCATACCGCTAAAAGACCCGCTCAACGCTATTCGTCTAAGACGCGTCTAATGTGCGGCCTGAGCCAGCCTCACGTTCCGCCGGTGGCACTGTTTACAAGCCAGCTTCCGCGGTAACATCCAAGCATACAATCGGAACATTTCGTATTATTACAGCATTTTTGGTGATTTTTTCTGCAAAATAAGTGACCATGGGCCCCAAGAAAGCTTCTAGTGCCAACCCTGTGGTAAAAAGGGTGAGAAATATTATCGAAATACAGTGGACCCCCGCATAACGATGGCATCGCATAGCGATTTTTCCGCATAACGATTACTTTTATCGCAAAATTTTTGCCCCGCATACCGATTAAAAACCCGCATACCGATTTTCGTCCGAGACGCGTCCAATGTGCCCTCAGCCAGCCTCACATGTGCCCCTCCGTCCCATTGTTTACCAGCCAGCCTCCGCGGTAACATCCAAGCATACACTCGGAATATTTCGTATTATTACAGTATTTTCGGTGCTGTTTCTGGAAAATAAGTGACCATGGGCCCCAAGAAAGCTTCTAGTGCCAACCCTGTGGTAAAAAGGGTGAGAATTAGTATGGAAATTAAGAAAGATTTTGAAGGGTTTGGGGCTAACCCTGAGAAGCCTATGCCAGTTGTGGAACCCATTGTGCCTACTTCAAAGATTAAGGAAATGTGTGCACAGTGGGTTGAACTGCAAACCTTTATAGATGAAAATCACCCTGACACAGCTGTTGCAAGCCGTGCTGGTGACTATTTCAATGACAATGTTGTGGCCCATTTTAGACAAATCGTAAAGGAACGGGAGGTACAGAGCTCTATGGACAGATTTGTTGTGCGACAGAGGTCCAGTGACTCTCAAGCTGGTCCTAGTGGCATTAAAAGAAGAAGGGAAGTAACCCCGGAAAAGGACTTGCTACTCAAGTCGTAATGGAAGGGGATTCCCCTTCTAAACAGTAAGAAGATAATGCTCTCCCCTCCTCCCATCCCATCAATCATCACCAGATCTTCAATAAAAGTAAGTGTCATTTAATTGTGCATGCCTTTTTCAGTTTGTGTGTATTAAAATTAACATTTCATGTGGTAAAAAAAATTTTTTTTCATACTTTTGGGCGTCTTGCACGGATTAATTTGATTTCCATTATTTCTTATGGGGAAAATTCATTCGCATAACGATTATTTCGCATAACGATGAGCCCTCTTGCACGGATTAAAATCGTTAACCGGGGGTCCACTGTACTGTGGTACCATGGTCAACTGCTGATGCTGCTGCTGCTGTAGCACTGTCAGCTGCTGCTGCTGCTGTAGCACCATCAGCTGCTGCTGCTGCTGCTGCTGTACCACCGTCAGCTACTGCTGCTGTACCACCGTCAGCTGCTGATGCTGCTGTAGTACCGTCTGCTGCTGCTGTAGCACCGTCTGCTGCTGCTGTAGCACCGTCTGCTGCTGCTGTAGCACTGTCATCTGCTGCTGCTGCTGCTGCTGCTGCTGCTGCTGCTGTAGCACTGTCAGCTGCTGCTGCTGCTGCTGTAGCACGTTGTTGGTGTGGCTTATTGAGAATACCAAGAAACAATTAACCCCAGAGGGTTAGCCACCCAGGATAACCCAAAAAAGTCAGTGTCATCGAAGACTGCCTAACTTATTTCCATTGGGGTCCTTAATCTTGTCTCCCAGGATGCAACCCACACAAGTCGACTAACACCCAGGTGAACAGGGAAAAATGCCTGGAACTAGTGCTCATATTGGTGAATTTAAAGCCAGCAAAGGTTGGTTTGAGAGATTTAAGAATCGTAGTGGCATACACAGTGTGATAAGGCCTGTTCTGGAAGAAAATGCCAAACAGGACCTACAGTACTCAGGAGGAAAAGGCACTCCCAGGACACAGTGTCTCATCAGTCATTGCTGCATCTTCAATAAAGGTAAGTGTCATTTATTCTTCATGTACTACTCTACTATTGTGCATGTATCCTTCTCTTTGTGTGTAGGAAAATGAATATTTCATGTGGTAAAAAATATTTTTTCATACTTTTGGGTGTCTTGCACAGATTAATTTGATTTCCATTATTTCTTATGGGGAAAATTCATTCGCATAACGATAATTTCGCATAACGATAATTTCGCATAACAATGAGCTCTCGTGAACGGATTAATATCGTTATGCGGGGGTCCACTGTAGATTTAATTTATTATTTAGACTTTCATATACAGTGGACCCCCGGTTTGCGAAGTCATCGGTAACCGATAAATCCGGTATCCGAAGTATTATATCGCAAAAATTTGCCTTGGTTCTCATTACAAAACCTGGTACACGATACGATTCGTACGAGACGTGTCCACATGTGGCCTGAACTGCCCCATGTGTGCCAGTGTTTACAAGCCAGCCAGTGTGTGCGCATCTAAGGATACATTCGGTACATTCCATATTATCCATATTATCACTGTTTTTGGTGCTCGTTTCTGCAAAATAAGTCACCATGGGCCCCAAAAAAGCTTCTAGTGCCAACCCATCGAGACCAAGGGTGCTAATGACTATTGAAATGAAGAAAGAGATAATTGCAAAGTATGAAAGTGGAGTGCATGTGTCGGACCTGGCCAAGTTGTATAGTAAATCCCAATCAACCATCTCTACTATAGTGAGCAGGACAATGGCAATCAAGGAAGCTGTTCTTGCAAATGGTGCAACTGTGATTACAAAACAGTAATCGCAAGTGATGGAAAATGTTGAGAGACTGTTATTGGTGTGGATAAATGAAAAACAGATAGCTGGAGATAGCATCTCTCAAGCGATCATTTGTGAAAAGGCTAGGCAGTTGCATGAGGAGTTAATTAGAAAAATGCCTGCAACTAGTGGCGATGTGAGTGAATTTAAGGCCAGCAAAGGTTGGTTTGAAAGATTTAAGAATCGTAGTGGCATACATAGTGTGATTAGGCGTGGTGAGGCTGGTCCTAGTGGCATTAAAAGAAGGGAAGTAACCCTGGAAAAGGACTTGCTACCTCAAGTCCTAATGGAGGGGGATTCCCTTCAAAAACATTAAAACTTCGACACTTCCCTCTCCCATCCCATCAATCATCACCAGATCTTCATTAAAGGTAAGTGTCAATTATTCTATTGTGATTATTCTATTGTTATTATTGTTACTGTAATTATTCTATTGCATTAAACTTATTATTTCACATGGTAAAAGTTTTTTTTTCATACTTTTGGGTGTCTTGCATGGATTAATTTGATTTCCATTATTTCTTATGGGGAAAATTTATTCGCTTTTCGATAATTTTGCTTTACGATGAGCTCTCAGGAACGGATTAATAACGTGAACCGGGGGTCCACTGTACCAGGGTGCTGGTGCACCAACATTTCTAATCACAAGTTTTTGTAAATTGTAGAACATGACCGTTTCTTAATTACTTTCAAAGTGTACATATACTGTACATACTTTACATTATTTCTGCTTTGTCTTTTACCTGTGAAATACCCAAGGGTAAAAGGTTTTTTTTTTATCCTTGCAGCCTAGCCTGAGACCAGGCATTACTGTCTTTTCAACCAGGCTATTGCTGTTAGTATTCTGCTGGCCCACAAAGCCATTACAGGAGGGTTGATCTGGCAATTTTAGGCATAGTGGTCCAGTTTCTTGTTAAAAACTTCATTTTTGGCAATACAGTGGTACCTTGAGTTATGAACTTAATTTGTTCCAGAAGGCTGTTCGAGTGCCGATACTGAACGAATTTGTTCCCATAAAGCATAATGTAAATTAGATTAGTCCGTTTCAGACCCCCAAAAATATACTTACAAAAGCACTTTCAAAAATACACTTACATAATTGCTCGAGTTGGGAGCAAGAGGCCTCTATCATGTGCCCTTAATTAACATCCTATGGAGAGGGAGCATGGACATAGGGGTCATCCCACAGCTGCTAAAAACAACAGACATAGCCTCACTCCACAAAGAGGGCAGTATAGCAATAGTGAAGAACTACAGACTGATAGCACTAATGTCCCATATCATAAAAATCTTTGAAAGGGTTCTAAGAAGCAAGATTGCCACCCATCTAGATACCCATCAGATACACAACCCAGGGCAGCATGGGTTTAGAGCGGGTTGCTCCTGTCTGCCCCAGTTACTAGCCCACTATGAAAAGGGTCCTGGATGCTCTAGAAGACAAACGAAATGCAGATGTAATATACACAGACTTTGCAAAAGCCTTTGACAAGTGTGATCATGTGTAACAGCACACAAAAGGGCATGAAAAAGGAATACAGGAAAAAGGTTGGTAGTGGATCTATAATTTCCTGACAAATAAAAACAAAGAGTAGTAGTAAACAGAGTAAAGTCTGAGGCGCTACGGTGAAAAGCTCTGTTCCACAGGCACAGTATCGCCCCCATCTTGTTCCTCATCCTCATATCCGACCATAGACGGGAAAACATTAGCCACAGTCCCATGTTTTTCTTTTGCTGATGACACCCGAAAACAATATGAAATTCAATGATGAGAAATTTCAATTACTCTGATATGGAAAAACATGAGGAAATTAAAACTACATCGGAGAATAAAACAAATTCCAACCACACAACAGAGCCAAAACTAATGTAAAAGACCTGGGAGTGATCATGTTGAAAGATCTCAACTTCAAAGACCATAAAACTGTATCAATCACATCTGCTAGAAAAATGACAGGATGGATAATGAGAACCTTCAAAACTAGGGATGCCAAGCCCATGATGACACACTTCAGGTCGCTTGTTCTATCTAGGCTGGAATATTGCTGCACACTAACAGCACCTTTCAAGGCAATGAACTATAAACTGTACAGAGAACCTTCACGGCACAAATAACTGCAATAAAACACCT